ATTTGTATTACAAAATATATACCTATATACCGTATTAATTAATAAAATTTTTTCGTAACATGCCGTTTCTTGGGATCACCAATATTATATATTTTTTTATTATGTTTTATATTTTACGTATACGTACGTACAAAGAATTCGACTATACCTAATTTTTCTTTTTTTTTTTTTTTAGCATATACTTTTAAGTACTACAAACAAATAATCGGCATATAAGTTTTGATCGATTTAAAGATATGTAAATCAGGGAGTGGTAAAAAATTTACACAACGCATATATGTAATAAATAATCAATGCGTTTGCACGACATTTGCGCAAAATTATTCAAAAGATGTAATGGTCTTAACGGTAGTAGGTAGATCTTTTAATATTTAATACACAGAAAATGATTATAATATCGTTAGCTACTGCATACAGCATCCCTAAAAACATTACTCTATTACCCAATAAAATCTCTGAATTCGTGACCATTATTCAATTTTAAATGTTCTTGAATAAGACCCTGAGTACTGTATGATGTGCTGTATGCAGAACGGAATTTTGCGATTCACTATAATTTAACATGCACAAACACACCATAGAAATTTTTTGGTAGTTAATGAATTCTTGAATGATTTTTATGTCGGAACGATCAAAAATTTTTTGTTATGTTATCTTTGTTTAAAGGTTCAAAAAAAATTTTTCTGATGATTTTTTACTCACATATGTAGTGTTGATTATCAAGCTCGACCAACAATAATCGCATATCGATATATGAGCTGCCGTCAATAGAAATCAACAGATTGACATTTTAAAAAAGATTAATCCCTTAATTTTCACTACTTATGTCTCGATGAATTTTGAAGCTATCCTGACGAATTATTATTCAAAAGAAAGTCTAGATCTTAAGCTTTCTTTTGAATATTAATTCATCAAGATAGCCTCAAAATTCATCGAGACATAAGTAGTGAAAATTAAGGGATTAATTTTTTTTTGCTCGATTTCTATTAATTCATTAATTTAATCGACCCGAAACTGACTTGGTTATAGTAAATTTATTATATGGGTCATGACCCATATACTAAATTTATTAATTAGATCAGTTTCGGGTCGTTCAGATTAAAACCGTTAGGAGCACTACTTGGTACGAGTCATTACATTTTTTGTTATAAATATTTGTACGTACGAGAAACTACGTTTCAATCTACTTTGCTTTCTTCTGACCAGCCTAGCCAAAGTAAGGCAGAATATATAAGCATTAACCGAATTCTACATTTTTTACGTACTTAGCTTTTGTAATTTATACTGTAGCAAATTTTTATTGAATATCTATTCAAAAATCAAATAAAAAAAAATTTTGAAAATGGGCCCTTTTAATACGAGGCACTCCATATTATACTGTATAAAAAACGATTACTCTAATTCTAAATACGTAATACGTACCAAAAAATTTACCATAATAGTCTTTTATTAATACTTAAAAATATTAAGGCAATAAACTTTGCTAAGTATATTTATTTAAGTATATTAATTCATACTAATTATAGGAAATTAATGGAATCATAATAAGCCTGGAATCCACTTAGATTAAAACAGAATAATTATACTAAAAATCCCAACCCTACCTTAAAAATTCAGAATCAAATTCTGTTCCACTTACGAAACTCGATCATATAATGCAACCTGTAGCATGTTAAAAATCAGAAATCTAAACTTCGATCATGTAAAATGTTACAGTATTTAAACTATTGAGATTTTTCGAGAAAAATAAAAAAAATCAAAAAAATCAAAATATTATGAAAAAATTTTACTTAAGACTTTTTGGTTTAATAAACCTTTTCTGACTAATATAATAGCGAAATCCCTAACAAAGTTATATTCACCGCGAAATTCAATCGTCATATGGCCAATCGTAATTGAATAAAAAATTTAGCAAAAATTATATAAGCATCAAAATTTGATTAGTAATTTGATTGCTATCAACCACTTAGGCCACTCCAAGCAGATTGTTTGTTTAACATAACATAAAATATTTTATAGAAGGGGGGAAACACCAAAAAAAAAAACTGAAATTTTATTGGCTGTAAAAAATTTAAAAAATTAAAAAAACTAATGCTGCAATTTGATTGGCTAATATCATGTATTATTTATGTGTGAAATTTTAAAAATTAGAGGGGGGGGTTATGTTAAACGAAAAATCAGCTTGGAGTGGCCTTACCAATAATGAATAGTAAGAATAATCAAACACGCCAGGTAAAAAGAAAAACCATTCGTTGCAATTTTTGATAATCTTGATTAAATATAATTTATTTTCTTGAAAGTCTTTAAAAACGGAACTATGGCAACGCGTTTATGATATTTGTCAACAAGAAGGTATATTATTAGTCAATTGATTTATAAACGAATAATGATTAAATTATTAATTTTATATATCGATATTCATATATTAAGCTGAATATTTAAAAGTAATCCCAACGCATCAATTTGTTTCAGCTCTCACAGATTTGGTGTATAAGCAAGCTGGTAATCAAGTTTCAAAATTTTAATATCGATATGCACCAATTAAGAACACCATTTTAATTATTATTATTCGTTATTATGAATTAGAAACCTCTGCAATGAACATGGAGAATTTTGCAAAGTATGAACGATAAGCATGAATAACCCAATTTATTTTATCGCGATTACATTGAAATTTTATTTGCAATTTAAAAATAGTCACGCGAATCGTACCACTATTTTAATGGAAGACGTAAAGGTATGAAAATCAAAAAGACATGTTAAACTCTAAAATATTCTAACAAAGATATTTTGATATTTTGATATTTTAAGTTACTTACTCGAAGGAACGAAGACTTAGTAAGTCTTAATATTATTAAAATATGATTTATTTTAATTATCTTTAATTTGCTTATTATTAAATTTCTAAAATAGAATGATATGATTAATAACTTTGCTGAACATATTAATGAAAAACGTGATGAAAATTTACAATAATAGTTCCTGCATGCA